TGCTGCCGAGGCCAAGCGTCCGTTTGGCGAGGCTATACTGTCCATATCACTGAATGAGGAGACAAGAGATGACCTTATCCACGACCTTGCACCAGTGACTACATTGCTCAGCACTCTGCCAAAGCCATACCTTGTAAGTTCCGTTAGTTGTTGTATATCCAGCGTACAATCAATCAATCAATCAATCAATCATACTGACACTTACACATTCATGTCATAGGTTTGGTTCAGATCTGACAGAGACGGAAGGCAATACAAATACAACATCCGTTTCGTCACAACCAACGATCTTAGTTGTTGTGTAAAGTTGCTCGGGATGTATGACATATTCAGTGGCAACAGTATCATGAAGTGCTACAGGTGCATGTGCACTAGGAGGACTGTTGGATATGTTGGTTCTGGCATAGACTTCTACAAGAGAGATATCAAGGATATATGGTCAAAGACAAAGTATCTAGATTTGACTGAGGGCCAAGTTAGCAGTCAAGAGAAGAAGGCAGTACAGCGCCAAGGATTCGCACATCGTCCAATCTATGGTGTTGCCTTTGAGCTTGATCAGTACATACCAGACCTCATGCACATGATACCAGGCTCGATCAAGAAGTTATTCAAGCTCTTCATCAAGTATCTGGTGGACAGTAGGTCCATGGCATTAGACAATGTTGACCATCAGGATCTGGACGAGGAACACGATGATGAGGACGATGATTATGTTGACGAGTACGAAGATGACGACGATTATGTTGACCAGGACAACGAGAACAATGATGATGACAATTTTTCCATGACCAGCAGTGATGAGGAAGATATCCAGGACAATGAGGTCGACGATGATGAGATAGAGAGACACTCCCTGTCGATCGACAGCATGCGCACCGCCTTGGATGTGGGGCAATCACTCTGGCGCCTTGGTCGAGGTCGACAATGTCCTGTCCAACTCAATGAGGACAATCGAGAGCGTCTTGCTCAAGCGATGCAACCTAAAGATGAAGCCAGAGGGTACTGTTTGGACGAGACGTGGCAAATCAGTACCAATGCCTGCACAGTATCGATTCAGTCAAGCCAAGCCTACCTTTCATCAATGTCTCCAATTGCTTGCAGTCATGGTCAGGAGGGAAGATGGACTCACAGATCTCATTGAAGATGAAACTGAGAGAGTAAGACAATCGCCAGGCTCCAAGTGAGTGATTGATTGAGTGCATTAACTAATACTATCATCAACAACAACAACAACAAAAAGGCCAATGTAGTTAGACTCTGGGAGATGATATACAAGTTGGTTGTCTTGCTACTCGATCACACCATTGTCATCAAGTCCTATCAATGGAGAGTGTTGTGTGAGAGGTTTGGCAGATTGCTAATCAATATTTACAACATTGAACCTACCTCTTATCTTCACATCTTCATACATCATTCTGGCGAATATATGGAGCTGTACGGCTGCTTAATGATGTTGTGTAACATCGCATCTGAAGGTAAGCCATGTGTTAGTACTATCACTATTCATTCAATGCTCTGCGACCATTGTGGACTAATTGTTAACCCAAACCATACAGCCAAGCATGGTTCCAACAACACAGCCATTAAGGCATCCAACAAACAGAGACGACCTGGACAGATATGCAAGCAACAGGTGACCAGGGATATGATCATGACCAAGCTCATTGAGATCTATCGAAAGGATGGAGTAGCACTTGCCAGCTATGTGAGCCACTCGAGGAAGTTCTATGAGGACAACTACAACAAACACATCAAGGGCCATATCAACAACTACATGGCCGACGTTGCCTTCCGATCTACATTTGGCCTGGAGCCTGACGACTTGTCTCATCCACCACGCCCAACTGCCTTCAAGTTGAATCAGATGGTAACGGCAATGACCAACGAAGAAGGCGACGATTATAAGAGCTGGTGGCCTGGTGAGGTTGTTGGCTATGACCCTGAGAATGTGACCTATGACATTCGATTCTGGTTTGTATTATAGTCCGACATCATTTAGAGAGAGAGACAACATACACTAACACATACACTCCAATCAATGATCACAGTGTCAAAGGTCAAAGGAGGACATATCTATTTCAGACAGGAAATGACTATGTTTTTGATAAAGGCATTTCCGAGGCGAACATCATAGAGCACATCATTCAAGAGTGTCAATCAATCAATAGTAGCCAAGTAAGAGATGGTCTTGTCTGTCTATTCCACGTACCTAAAGTCAAACACTACTATCGATCGACGCTACACTTGAATACTGTCGGTGGGAAGCAAAGACTGACGGCCAAGGTGATGGATGGCAAGTATGCCAACAAGAGCTATCCTGTGAACGATCTAAAGGGCATCTTCGCACCTTGGGATTGTGAAGTCACAAAGTTGCCAACTGGCCGCTCTGCCCGTGACTTGATAGACTCTGATGTTCCTCCATTCACCTATGATGACCTACCAGAGATCAAGGCCAAAGGTATATATACACACCTGCTCGAAAGGAGTAACCAAACACATGATCAACAACTTACACCATGATATCCCCACAACAATAGTGAAGGCATCCATTCAAAAGCGACATGGTATCTCCAACAAACTTGTTCAGGATTGTATCCAGGAGCGTTTGGCCATCCTTGCTGTGAGGAATGACTTGTTTCATACACCTATGACAAGCAATCTTGATGTTGTTGATATTGCAAACAGGATCCGATCAATGATGACAAAGCTACCACCGACTACACACTTTGAGAACTCTATTGCTCCACTACCAACAATGTCAAACACAAGCAACCACAATAGTAACAACGATGAATGTCTACTATTAGAGGAAATGGAGATTGACACATCAGACAGCGAGCATGGTGTCAACAACACCAGAAACACCAGCAGCAGCAGCAGCAGCAGCAGTACTACTACAACAACGACAACCACTACAACGACCACGACCAGCACCTCAACTACCAGCTCCAACAACAATGCATATCTATATGTGATCATGACCACTGGAAGTCATCACTCTGTACTGATTGGCCACCAACAAGCAAGGTGTCTGATTCACTTGGACTCTTTGAACATGCATAAGTCCATTGCACAATCCATCACCAACAAGTACAACGAGTCGGTTACAGATGATGATGATAGGTTCGTGCTGTACTCCAACACTGGAACAATCCAACAAGATGTATGGAGTTGTGGTCTTTGGTCAATCTTCTTTGTTGGATATGTTATCAAGAGGTGGAAATGCTTATTAGTAGATAATAAATAATGTTTGTTTAGAGTGATTGTGTGAATGTGTGAAGTTGCTCAGCTTGTTGTATGTGGCGCCAGAGTGGGGTTGGGGTCATTTGTGGACCAATGTTTTGCCTTTTATGGTCAAAATATACCCTCAGACATCGCTGAAGTGAGGTTCATCTTTATTTACCCTGTGTCTTGTTCTTCATCTTGAGTGCAATAATGGATACAATCAGTGCTGTAATTGCAACAAGGGCAGTCACAATGGGAGGCACTCTGGTTGCCAGCCTCTTGGCCCTTGTCTAAAACCACTGTTAATATATTAGTTAGGACCATGGGTCGCAGATAATTGAAGAGTACATACATCCATCTTTGCTTCAACCAAAGTGTAATCTCCAGCTGGATAAGGAGACTCGGCAATGTCTGGTTGCAATTCAGCATCACCCACATGTCTAACTCGGAGGCCACCACTGGTCAGATGCATGTTCTTCTCGATTGTTTGCCATGACACACCTTGACGGAATGTCTTTGTTGGAGTTGCATCAGCATCTGTCTTGAATATCCTCACTTGTGTTTGTGTTAATGTCTTTATCAATAACCTATCCAATTATGTACTTACCAGGTGGCTCTGTGATGTAGACGTGGTTCGTACCAACTGGTATCTGGTCGTTTGAGTTGACCACGGCAGCATTCACAGCAGCTGGACGGTACTCGATGACACAACCTTGGAGATTGCGCAAGTTGTGCAAGCTCACACTGAGGGGACTCTGGAGTATACGTTCCCTTAGGTCTTCGTACCTTATGTTGCCGTTGACAGCAACGTAAAAGTTAATGTTGGCGTAGTTCACTGTTATCTGACGAGGGACAAGAGGGGCGGCAACAACCTCAACTTGAGGTGCACCAGCAAGCGGAGCATCGGCAGGGAGAGCACCAGCAGGGGCATGAGGTACCTCAACAACAACCTCAACTGGAGGTTCACCAGCATCGACAGGGAGAGCATCGGCAGGGAGAGCACCAGCAGGGGCAACGACTTGGGCAGGTTGGTCAACAGCTTGTGGATTATTCATTATCTGATATCTGGTTGGTTTGTTGAATGACCATCTTAAGCTTCGCATTAGAGTTTATATACTGACAAACATACAGTTCTCTCTTTGTGTAGGTGTTTGAAATGAATCAAAGGTCAATCAATTGATTGACTAATGGGGACTATTCACACAACTTCAAACAAATAAATTAAATAAATATTATCTCAAACAGACTTGACTCCCCAACCTCCCTATGTCGATACACATCCTCTTTTTCCCCAATTTCCCTATCCCTATTCCCCTCCCTTCCCTCCCCAAGTTGCGACAGATACACTTTATTATTCCCTCCCCATTCTCCTCCCCATCCTCCCCAAGTTTGTCGACACATCCTCTTTATTATTATTATTATTATTATTATTATTATCCTCCCTAGACTCCCCAAAAGAAATATAAAAGAATATAAAAGAGAGAATCAGACACTAATAATGGAATCCGCGCAGCGGATTTAATTTGGGAAAGGGCCCCCTGAGTTATACACACCTCTGATTGAATCTATTTCCAATCGTCAATATTTTAATTGATGAAGGGAGCATTCCTGGAAGTAATAGTTGATTGAAACAGTTTCCAAAGGTCAATGATTCATGCATCTGGTAAATGTCCACTCTTGATAGTCTTATTGAATGAATCTCCAAAAGTCAATGATCTTAATGAAGGTGGAAGACATCCTTTCCTCACCCACATTTATTATTTAGATTATGAGAGTGAATGAGTGTCCAGATCTGGTTCATTTATCATTTCCAATAAATGAATATGCGCATCTTTAGATGTGTGCTGAGCAGATGAATGAACAATACATAATAATGAATGATTATTGAACTCCATCAAAGTTGGTTGAGGTCGAGTCTGCCTTCCAAGTCTCCAAATCCTTGATCCAACCCTCTGCCTTTTGTTTAGCCAAGTTGTAGCTGTCAACACCAATGTACATGTGCTGGGGTAGTGTTTCAGCTGGAACAGTGGACAACTTCAAGAGTAGTTTGGCCAACTTGTCTGGATCACCATTCATTGGAGGGATGGTCTTGCCCGAAGCCAGAATCTTGTGCAAGGGCTCATAGTCTGGGATTGTGTTTGGTGCTCGTTTGAACTTGGTCGGAGAGGCAATGTCTGTCTTGAAGCTGCCTGGGTTGATGGTCAACACCCTGATGCCAAAGTCCTTCAGCTCGGCATCCATGCTTTCTGTGGCCATCTCCAATGCTGCCTTGGTGGCACTGTAGGCACCGAATGAGACGAGACCCACATTGGCAAGGATAGAGGTGACATTCATGATTAGACCAGACTTCTTGGCACGCATGACTGGTGCGACTGCACGGTAGACGTAGAGTGAGGCAAAGAAGTTGATCTCAAAGTGCTCCTTGATGTCAGAGATGGGCAACTCCTCAAGTGTTCCGGCAAGTCCACAACCTGCATTGTTGACCAACACATCGATGGTACCAAACTTGTTTGTAGTCTCTGTGACAGAGTTCTTGATACTTGTTTCATCAGCGAGATTGACCACCAATGGAAGGAAGGAGTCACTGTGAGTCTTGGCAGGGGCACCAATACCATCAATCAATGCTTGTTTGTTTCTTGATGTGGCGGCCACTTTTTGACCATTCTCGAGTAACAACTTGACCAGACTTGCACCAATACCAGTTGAGCAACCTGTAATATACCAAACTTTTGATGTCATAATTAATTATTATTTTTATTTAGAGATAACGTAAGTATAGATTTGTAGATAAATATAATGGATGGATGTTGAGTTGATCAATATGAATGATTTGTTTGGTTGGTCACTATCAAATACATACTGAGCTCATTGATAAATAGAATATCTCGATCGGAAAGTGCTCACAGAATGAAACGACATCATGATGTTCAAGGATAGGGCCAACACTACCAACCCCCACTCACACACTCTATCAATCAACACCTTCAACTGAAACACACACCAATCATATTCATTCATTGGCATTGAACCAAGGAATGAGTTATATGTTGTAAGGTATATATCATTCAACACATACATTACATCTTTATCTTATTTGTACAATCAACATTCCAATACTCGTCTTGAATTACAAGGTGTCAATCCTCAATGGTTCTAGAACAATGCTCTATCTATTGAAGATTGATTGATTGTTATTATTAAAAATAATGTAATAGCTTTGAATGAATGACTTGCCCTATGAGACATACCCTCGCAGACGTACCCTCGCAGACATACCCTCGCAGACATCCCCTCGTAGACACATTGAATCAATTTGAATTTGAATTTTTGGCGCTCTTTATTTTGAATTGAAACAGTTCAAACAATCGTTGTCGATCTACTGATCATTCAATCATTGTTACAACAAATAATAATACATAAATACATCTAATAGAAGTAGTATACTTAAAAGATGATTGCACCATTTATAAAGAATAACAATGTGATCTTGGTGATATCGACCACATTGGCAACTATCTCTTTATTCGTACTCTCCTACATCTACAGGTCCAATGGTGATAGGCCCAAGTCCATTTCATCTCCACCATCACCATCACCATCATCACCAGCAACTACAACATCATCACCGTCAACAACTACAACATCAACACCAACAGTAACACCTCATGCAGATGATGAACAACACAAGAAGAATACAGAACTGCCGATACATGTGACCAATGACGATCAGTCACATACTACAGAGTCAAAGAATGAGACAACCCTACAGCTACAGAATGTTGAAGTAGTATACGCACAAGAGGAAGAGAAGGGTCTACACGTAACCTTAATATTGGACCCTGTTCATCTGCCTCATTCAATCATCGTCAATATCTTTGAACTGCTTACATACACTGACTATCAGAGGTATGTTACGTTGTTGTTGTGTTACAAGTCAAGGCAACTCATATCGTTCAATCACTAACTCAACCAAAGATGCAAGTCTGTCAACATGAACTGGAACAAGATACTGTGTAAATTAGATAGAGTGTGGAAACATTACATTGGAGAGCGATGGGGATACTCTGAGATACCAGATGCATCGTACGAACCAACAGACTACTACAAGCACTTTAAAGCAAGATGTATGTGGACCCGGTGCGCGCCAGTGGCGAGCAAGGCAAGCAAGGCAGAGAGAACTAACATTGATCATGTTCACAATATAGACATTGAAGAGTGGAGGCGTGTAGCATTCAAGCCAGAGACACATATCATTTCCATTCATGAACAGGTATGATTGATCACAAACTGGAACCATTC